TAAACTCGTGCCACCCTTCATGACAATGCCCTCCAACGCTGATACAATAATCTAGATATTTCACCATTAAACGCGGATGAAAGCAGTTATCTAAAGTGATTTTTGAAGGAACCAAACGTAAAAGAATGAGCAATTATAACAAGCGTTGGCAATTCTACAAAGAAAATCATTAAAACAGTAAAGATTTTTCGTTGAACGGAACCGAATAGATCAAAAGTCTATTTCCTTCTAAAACCAAACGCACGAACAGACAAAACTCCTATCGGCGACATGTGCTACTGTTCATGTCCAGAGAAATAATCACTGGAAGAACTCACAAATCACACAGTATTCGTTTTATTTCCGCGTTAATACTAGCATTCCATGGTCAAATTCCATCCTCATAGTTCGCACTGGTGAACCACAGCAACTTCCAGCGAAGAATAAACCACAGAAGTGGTCTCATGACTCATTTAACCACTACACACTCCAACAGTTCTGTGGACAGAAACTTGAACAATTTTGTTGAACGGCAGTTCTTACAATTAGTGTGAATACTGAATGATGACGAGTGTGTGAAGGAATCACTGGCGATTAAAAGTCGTAATTTTTATAAGGCATGAAGAGTGATATTCGATAAGGGCGATATTAATTGATCGAATATTCAACAGGACGATGACAATCTTACGTTAAGCTGCTCATTTTGGGTTCTGACACATCAACAAAACATCATTCGATGACATCTGACCGTAACAGAATCGAAAAATATCGTCTGCATGATCTCAACGCAAGTAATGTTATGACTAAACGAGAAACGACGACACAAAAGTAATAAACACTCATCGATACAATAACGCTTACAACATCACTTCGAAACAGCAAACACGCATATGAGCAAATCATCAGAGTTACCGTCAATTTCGCCCGTATCATTTCTAGAGTACCGTTAGGCGCAACCGAAGAATCAATAAAACCAAAACTCAATCCAAACTAACACAATCTGAATGAACCATAGTTTCAAAATAAAGCATTTCTATTGGTGCAATAAAATCAAGTGAACATAAAAAATCACAAATAACCATTTATTTACTTCAACAGTTAGCATTCTAAGCACTAAAATGTTCACTTATTAGTAACAATAAGCCTTATATACATATACATATGTAGATCTGGCAAGAATCAAAAACACTGGAAAATCAACTTGAATGATAGGAATTCACCATTTTCTAATGGTCATAAATAGGAAGCGGATGTCCTTCAGTATTAAAAACGTATTGGTCGAGAGGAATCTCCGACTGATCATCTGCCAATAACAAATACAGATATTTAAGTGTTTCGGCCAAGAAAAATGATTCCATCACATCCCTACAAAATACAGCAATAAATTCCTACAAAATGAATTTCCAACAAAATGAAGAAATCAAAATAATGGAACGATCAATGAGAGCAATTATGATATCAAACGAAATATGTGTGCAATATGACCTAAAACGTTTGTCTCACGCAAACAAGCACCTTTGTTAGCATACCTGTATGAAACTGGTATCCGTTTAACGTTGACAACAGACGAGAAACCGTGTTCAACCCAGGCGTGCTTTTTGATCGCTTCAAACGCCGCCCATCCCCATTCTTGATACATTTTATCGCCCGTGGCTCGATAAAGATAAAACCATGCTTCGATTGCTTCCGGTCTCAGCAAGCAGTGCGCATCTGACGGCTATAATTCTAGTGCATAAAGCAATACCAAATGATGAACAACACACAAGTGATCACTAATATTCAACACCTGATTCGAATATTCAGACCGCTAAACGAATATTCAAACACCTGATTCGAGATAAACGAATAAGATGACAAAACAATAATCGAAGCGGAACGTGAACACACCTTGATTGAAATATCACCTTTGGCACCTGGTTGTTGATGAAAATAAATGATCTCCGGTCCTAGTCCAGTAGACGTTTCGTACATTCGATGACATCCTTCACCTATCTTCTTGGCCAAACCGAGATGTGATTTCGGCATTCCATTGAGTGCACCAAGCGCTAACGACCCAGCCACAAAGCAAACCAAATGATCCTGCACACACACACACACCGATCATTTGTGGCAATATTGACCATTCATTCTTGATCAATAAGCTGATCATATGTCTATAAAAACACTGAAACTTCTACTTCCAAACAAAACTGACCATTTTAGGTGAATAAACACCGCCTGCAAGAATTTCGCCAACAAATGTTAGTTTATTAGGTTCAGACACACCAACAAGTCGTTCTGTCATCGACTGCATCGTTTTGTTGTAATCGTCGCGTAACCTATAAAATTTTATCCGGTGAAAATATCAAATTTCGTAAGCAATTCGGAGTTCGATTGAATGAAACCCTTCGTCCAGATGAGTTACTAATCTTTACACTAAGTTCGCTGAGAAGATATTCCAAAATTTCCCACACAAGATGCGGTCTAAAAATAACGAGTCATCAAATACGGCACCCAAAAAACTTGCAGAGATCCCGAAAAATAATCCAGGAATACATCATCAACTAACCAGTCAATAGTCTTCCCAGTCTGCAACCACTGCTTCAAGAGGTATTCATAGAAGCTGTCAGCACGAGCACCCATTGTTATTGTAGAATCTAAAAGAACACAGCATCTGAGTAAGCAGATAAAAAATAGTGTGCTCCATACCCCGATTCTCAAAATTGGTTCACGAGTTTTATCAAGATTGCTAATTGATCAGTTCGACTGCATTACCTATAGCGCTCCCTATCATAGCAAATAAAAACGTGTAAACAAAAAAGATGTACCAACCGCGGAAACTTCCTGTACTCGGATTCATAAACATAGGACAAAGGCCATCATATTTCTCACAACCAATATCATGTATATGTTTTGAGGTGGAAAACGACAAATCCTGAAGAATTTAACAGTATCGACGAATCACATTTCCTATTCCTAATAAATCATCATTGAGTTCTTGTTTAAGAGTCATTGATGAAGAACGACTGAGCCTTCAACAACGTTTCGGCCTAAAAGCAAACTTCACTTCTGTCTATACTCCACCGAATTCAACGACGTAACTGATTATCGCCTCTGTCAATCCCACAGAATATAGAAAACTAATTTCGGCTCATAAAAACTCTTCATCATGAGATACGATACGAATACAATTGCAACTACGAGAAGGCAAACTTATTGAAATGTGATCAAATGAAGAATGAAGAAACAACCTACGAACTGAACAGCGACACTATGAAGAATATAAAAAATTGAAGCGTGCACAAACCTCAAAAGAAGAATTCTTGATAACTCTAGACAAATCACGAAATTCCAGCTGCACACTCGTCACTTCCGACAATGAACTCTCACCACCCCAAGACGGTTGTTTTGCAGACCTAAACATTTTTTAAACAATCAGACATGGCGCAATCAACATTATGAAATAGATTTGAATAAACCGAATCGTTTATTAATGAAACAGATTGCTTTTCACGCCAGATTAGTATAAGCTAGAAGGCTGGATTGTATTCAGCTAGAAGGCTGGATTGTGATTCTAACACCTAATCACAGAGAGAATCTAAACAGCCTTTTCATGACACTATGTTTTCGTCATGGTTCGCTGTGGTGCAGAAGAAAAACGAAAGAACTGATAAGTCAATACCACTTTTACCACAGCACTTATTAAAATGAAAAAGGAAACAACAATAACGGACAGAAAATCAACTTTGACTGAAGATGCACATCACTGTAAGGAACAGCCGATGAAGATGAATACGCAGCGGTTAATCTTGTACCAACATCGTTTGCCTTTTCCATGAATAATTTGTCATTCGTCAAATGGAACGCACTCAGAAGACCACCCAGCACACGAATGGTCATCTCGAAAAAATTTACAAATACTGGTCGATCAAACGTTAAACTTTCTGCTACCCAAGTTCGTGCCTCATCAAATTCTGAAAAAAAAGAATGTATTCAGAAATCATTTACAAATATCTGCGGATAACCTAAATCGAAACGTCTGCGAATAACATTGACCGAGTAAATGAACAAAAAAGAGAACCGTGATCAAGTCCCATGATCAGCATGGTATCAAGTGAATCGATGATTGTCAGTCCCACTCCGAACCAATCTGAATATCCCTTCGAGATTGGTTTGAGAGTGTCATGACCCCAAGCATACTCTTTATATCCCTTCCATGCATGCTTGAAGGCATCAACCACCTCTCGTTGCCTGTCATTTTGAGGTCCTAAAATATATCTAAGCCTTCACGAGTATTGCAACGATCACACGAATGATTATCAACTGCAAATAAATTCAATGAAAGAAACCTTTAAAACGAGGATAATGAGGAGGTCGCAAATTAGCTAGTCGAGGTGCTTCTGCAGGCATTGCTGGTTTATCTTGAGCATCATTCGCATCATTAAACCTTTGTTTCACATCATCAACTTGATCAAAGTCTGCTATCGCATTATCGTTATTTCTTCTTCGATCATCCCCCTCAAAAATCATCACTATTGTTCATAACAATTACTTGTTATAAATAATTACGCTACATATTAGGATAGATCTAAACTTCAACTCTCTATGATAGTATGATGGTATCCGAATAAATCTATGATGGTATCCGACCGATACTCGGTCGGAAAAATCCGACAAATTTCGGTAGAAAACTCGACATTCGAATCCCGAACGAACAATTTTGGAGTCCAGTCGAAATTACGAATGTCGGAATCTCACATGTGAACGCAGTCGGATTAAGACCGAAGGATTTTGAAGTTCGGTCGGAATAATTCCAAAAGTCGGTCGGAATCCTGAATGTCGAAATCTAAAAATATGAATTCAATCGAATCCCGACCGAACTGGAGTTTCGTTCGAATGCTATCATTAACTCCAAGCACTAAATTTTCAATGAATGAACAAAACAGTGAAGTGCTTCGACACGAAGTTTGACTGTGATAGTTGAATCAGCTACAATCAATCGAAAGCAACCGAAAAAGTTATCAACCTAACCTGATTAACGATTGCAGGAACAGCAATTTGATTTGGTTGATTCACTTCTTTTCTTATTATATCATTTAGCCAACTTTCCCGTGAAGAGAAATTTGCATTCATTTTAAAAACCAATCCAAACACAGTAAGTACCGCCAATACCACAAATATAGTCCTCAGAAAACGAGGGACAGAACGCCATACCTGCAAGTATATTTGAATGGACCTTATGAGATAATACGTTACGACAACGTTTATAATCAAGCTTCGTTCACATAATTAATCCGAACAGAAAACTGATTCGATGGTGGAAAACAACGAACGACCACAGAGTCAGTAGAAGTGGTCAAGAACATGAAGGCGATTAGAAACAAAAGTTGAGAAAATCTTTTCTAAAAAGGAAAGTGAATCCAGTCGCTTTTCATAGTTACTCGATAAGCATTTTACGGTGAGAGGTTGGAGCTTAGAAAATGCACTTGTCAACGGGAATGTGTAGAGAAGCGTGAAAAGAAAATAGAAATTAGAAATCTTACCCGAATGATTCTGAAAGCTGATCGTGATGGTGAAGGTTGGTGTGAAAAAAATGGCAGTTGGTTATCAGAGTCTGAACGATGTAACAGATGATTCATTCTCCTTCTTCCTACAACTTTGACGTTTCAACTGAATTCATTCAACGAAAAGACGATACTGAGACAGTGTAACGAACCGGTCACATTCACAGCATATCGCACACACTCAAGAACCTGTAAGTGATAATTGTGAGTAAATCGAATGGAGGAATCAAGGAAGCACTTGGAAAAAACACTCTCACTACTGAATAATTACATACTATCTTCTTGAACATACGGACAATGAGAACAAATGACAACTCTCGATGAGTCAAATACACAAATCCATCTGTAAACGTTCCTCTGGGTGAATTTTCTTCTACGGCTGACATTCAGAAAAACTCTTCAGACTGCTGTCCGTACTTGGTCAGAACTTTCACGAAATCTTGGCCACACTACGGCGTGAATAAATATTACACACCTCATCTAATGAACTCATTTGATGAAATGAATTATGTCTCAGCTCGTATCTAGAAAAAAGAGTGAACTGAGGCCGTTGCACTCATGTCCGATCCCGTCCCGTAACATCCCAAGACATGGCCATTTTAATGAACCTCAGCACCCCTACCAATGCAGGCTCAAGTTCCCCACCTACGATTTTTTTTT